AAGAAGTAAAGCAAGAATTTCAATAAAAATAAGTTGCATAAATATTATGTAACAAAAAGCGAATTAATATTCTAAAATCTATTGAGTATCTTAAACGATTTTCAATGCTTTTAATTAGATTTTCAATTAAGAATTAACACTTTTTAGATATAAGGAAATGTTTAATTTTGACTAATATAGCTTAGAATAATTAAGGAGCACTATTTTTTACATTTGACACACAGCATTTCTTTATAACTTACATACTATCAAATTTTTTAATTTGCTAACAATCTTTCCTTAACTACGCAAAGCTCTTCCATTCCGATGTTAACAAAGTTTTTAGAAAATCTTGTCTTTAAATACATAAATTCACCACTTACATTTATACTTTATCGGATCCACTCTTTTCGAAACGCTTTGTACGGAAAAAAATACGTAAACATGTTTAGAAGAAAGATCTCGCGTGCACATATCTAACTCTGTCGGTAAACGAATTGGCAGGAATTCGCACGACAATGTCTCTGAGCGGCTAATCGTACACTCTAGTGAACACTACGCGCGACGAGGGCTACGGCATTCAGTTTCGCTTCAGGACTACTTTGCCAAACGGTTTCCTGGCGATCGGCAAGGACCATTTATATTCTTCAGCTGGTCAACGGTAACGGCAAACATACACTCGAGTATGCTGGACAAATGGACGGAGTTTTCGTCGGTGGCTGACTCAATGATGCCACGTGGCAAAAGGCTTTTGTGGCGATCAACGCAACTCATCTTATCCTCTCGGCCAACAATGAACAGACTATCTATCCTATCAGTCCTAACGTTTATTTCTTTATCTACGACTTACGTGGACGGCAGCTACAGCTCTTTAAACTTCCTGAAAAGGTTATATGTAGCCATTTTCACAGTCTTCCTTGGCTGCATGGAAGATGTCATTATTAACGGCGAATGGGTATGTTGGCCTGCTTTTCATTTCGATTTATTTAATGAATCATATTTCTTTAAAAATACGTTAATTAATCACGTAACTTGTGTAACTGTTAACATAATTTTATCTTCTTCCGAGAGGAAGTTTGTGAAAAATAGTTTTTAATTTTCTAGATATTGAAATCTTTATTTATAAATTATCAAATAGAAAGTGTTGACAATTTCTAAGAAATTTTCCGAAATGACTTGTATAGAACAATTTTTTACATGTCCATGCGGATTTTACGTTTATTCTTGTATTACGTCGAAGATCGTATATATGGAGGATGTAGAATCAGGCTGTCTCCGCGAAGCTCAATGCTCACCAAATCCCTGCGAGAATGGCTGTTACTGCACCAACAATTAGCGCGAATTCAAATGCAAGTGCGAGCGTCCTTATCTCGGTCGCACCTGTCAGTACAACATGACCTTAGCCACCTTCGGCTACGAGAACATTACGAACGGCTATGTGACTGTGAAGGTTAGCGACACGGCTAAACGGACTGTCAGTTCAGTCGTTGACATCTGCATGTTCATCCGCACGCGGGAGGGCCACGGTGATATATTTTACCTGGGCACGGATCCGCAGGACGATCTAAAGCTTGAGGACAGGACTTGCATAAGAGCGCAACTGAAGGACGGAAACTTGCGCGTGAGTTTCCAGTTTTTGACAACATCACTGACGGTTACACGATCGACGGCGCGAGGCTCAACGACGAAAACAAACACCTCTTTCAAGTGACAAGAAACGTTACTCTCCTAGAAGTGAAGATCAACGGCACCGAGCACTTCCGCAAGACGATCAGCGCCACAGGAGACTTGAACGTAACCTCTACCTGGGCGGACTACCGCAAGTGTCTAGATACATTCGCCAGGCCGTCGATAGCAGGCAATTGGAGAAGGAACAGGCACCGCAAATTAACTTCAAGGGCATCATCCAGGATGTAAAGATATCGAACGGCACGACAATAATCGTCTTTGAGTTTTTTCCGCCGAAGGTGACTGAGAAAATATCTTAATTTTTAATGTTATTTTCATCAAAACATATGTCAAGTAAGAATTTATTTGATTTTTCGATTTTTGTAGGGAATTTTTTTCAAAATCTTTTATAGTTAAATTCTACAACGCTTGAAACAATTCTATCTTTTGAAAATGTTTCTCAAACATTGATTCTTGCAATTTTTGAATTATTCTTCTGATTTTTTAATATTTCAAAATGTAACAGTTCTTAACTTTTATCTTGATCAACATTTTTCCTCAAATATTAATTTAATTCATAAAATCTTTCTTTTGAATAAGAATGCAAAAATTGTCAATAATTATTGCTTCAGTCTTTGCATCAGCATGCTTCATCAACGTACTTTAATTCAATACATTTTTGTGTTTTGCATTTTTTTAGACGTCGGACATTCCCATGCTCATTCAGTTCGGCAACGTTTCCTTTGACCACGAGAAAATTCTTGAGGGCGTCGTGTAGGATGACGTGTGCGTAAGTAGTTCGTGCAACGGCACGTGTCACTTATCGTCGAACGACTTCTGATGTCAATGTCCGCGTGGCTACAGCGGCAAGACTTGTCAGAAAATGGAGTTCTGCCAGCTACAGGGCTGCCCGGCAGGCTCGTGCTGCCAGAACCTCGACGACGGTTACGAGTGTATCGCCAACTCGATCTTCGGCGTCATCAGATCACGTACAGATTCAACACCGGCGGTACGCTGCTTCACGTGGCATCGCACGTAGGCGATCAACATTTCACCGTGTCCGTCTTGAAAGACAATGTCACCGTGTCTTGGCAGCTCGATTTGGAAAACCAGGGCACTGTATCCTTCGACAAAGCTCAGCCCGACGGCATTTGGACTTTGCTGCTCATCAAGCTGAACAACTCTCTGGAGTGCGGCTACGTGAATCCGGTCGAAGAGCAGCCTCGCTCGAGCGCCAACTTCAACTACCGGCTGTGGCACGATCTCCTGGTAACAGGAATAGTCACTCTCGGTGGACTTTCCAGTGCTTTATTCGACAAGCACACTTACGTCACTGTCGGGTCGAAACACGATAAGAGAGACGGAATCGAGGGGAACAGTGTGGATTATGGTGAGCATAGACTGACAACCGCCATCCTATTGCATAGTGTGATGTCCGGTGAGTATCATATTTGAACACACGGTTTTTAGATATTCCATAATGCGATGCTACTATTTTAATAGAATATTATGATGTTTGAATCAATACTTTGAACTGTGGTTGAAATATGAAGGAAAGTCAGAAAACTTTTTAATTGTTTGGGAATCAAAAGTTGTTTTATTGTTTGGTTTTTAGTAGTTTTGAAATACATAAAATCTTCGCTTCTGAGGCTCTCAAGTCTAAAAAATTCCTTCTTTAAATTTTAACTTTTCTTTTACTTTTTTATGTTCAATTTTCTTCATTGTAAAATCTTTTTATTTAAGCGCTCTTTGCTTAATAAAGAATTATTATAACTTTTATTTCTTTTCTCAGGTGAACCATTCAAAGGCTGTCTAGGCGAGGTGCGCATCGGCAGCATACTGCTACATTACTTTACGAATGAAGAAGTGTATCAAAATGCGAACTTTACGCCGTTGGAGTTTCTGACGTTGCAGAGCAACGACAATGCCACTCACCTCGACAAGTATCGGCTGTCTGTTGTGTTTCGATACGGACTGCACAAACGATGGCTACTGCTTTGATAAAGCAAACAGCTACATATGCGAATGCCCAACCTGCTATGCCGAGGATGACTGCTCCTTTAACATCGACGAGTGCATCAACAACAAGTGTCGAAACGGAGCGACATGCGTCGACGGCATCGCGAATTACACCTGCATCTGCGACAGCGGCTGGCAGGGATGGCTGTTAGTATTTTCTCATCTTGAAATCATTTCACGTTTTATGAAAGATTAATATTTTTTGTGATGTTAATGAGATTGTGATATTTGACATTATTTTACAAAAAAATATTAACACACACTGATGTTATCAGCAATAAATTTAAAATTTATTGGTATTTACGTTAATTAGTATAATTGTTCCATTAACTTTTCAAGAATTTCTGAACTCGACAATCATGATTTTAGTGTGAAACTCGATTATTAAAATCGAGAGAAATATTTTTAAAAAGTATTACATTATAAAATCAGAATTGTTTTGTACAAAAACTTCTAATTGCAAGAATGACAAATTTCAGGTAAAAATTATGCTGTAAATAATTCTATTTTCTAAATATTAGATTTGTTATAAATTAATTACTGACGTGAACCAAACTTTATAGGGCTACAGTAAAGTTTTTGAAATATTCAGTCGACTTATTATGTTAAACGATTTATTTTGGACATCGCAATCAAAATACTGAATATATACCAAAACATGCATGATTAACACTACATTCTGACGTGATCTAAGTTACGATCACGAACTTATTGCAACACTTTCTTATTAACTCTTATTTTTTGTTATAGATGCGACAACGATATCAACAAGTGCGTGACGCTGAATCCCTGCAAACACGACGGTATGTGCGTGAATGTGGCAGGCTCATTCCACTGCGAGTGCCCAGACCAGTTTACCGGTGATTTGTGCGAAAAATTCCGACTGATCACATGCGAGAACAATCCATGCATGCGCGGCGCGACCTGCCTCGACTCGCCGAACCCGAAGACAGGCGATAACTTCACCTGCAACTGCCGACCCGGTTACGACGGTCCAGTTTGTAACTCGCCTTATTGTACTCTGCCTGGTCAGAGATGCCAGAAGATGTGAGTTTTTGCAAACAAATTATGATCATGTAATGAAACTATAATTTCCAAGACTCTAGGATTTATAATTGCTGAAGTTTCGCTGCTGCTTTTTATTATTATTGCATAATTTGATTTTTTTCTAAACTTGTGAAAGTTTAGTTTAATATGATGAAATATACATGTTGTCAAGTTTAAATCTCAAGCTTAGAGAATCGGTGGATTTTGAGATTGTCATTTTAGATTCTGGATTCTAAAAACTTTATTTTTAAATTTAATTGTTAAACAAAAGTTTTATATATTATGGAATTATTATCACGTAACAACCGAGATGCACCTGCGCTCCTGGTTACACCGGCCTGCGAGACGGACATCGTTGAATGCGCCGGATCTCAAGGGCGAACTACCCTGCAAGAACGGCGGCAAATGTTTCAACGCGGTGAACAACTTCACATGCGACTGCCAGAACCGGATACACCGATGGCAATTGCACCGAGGACATAGACGAATGCGAAAATTCGCAGACAGATTGTGGACATGGCAGGTCCAAAATCTGCTGGCCTGGTAGTTACGAGTGCGTTTGCAATTTTGGCTACTGCGGCTACAATTGCGCCATGTTGGATCCTTGCCAGGAGGTAAGTTCTCTACAAATTAATAAATAGAAAAGAATTTAGAAGGATTGTGATATAGAACTGAATAAAAAATTTAGAGAATAGAATATTCATAGAAATTAAAGAATTAGAACATTAAACAAGATTGATTAGAATTGAGCGAATGATATTGGAAAAATTCTTTGAGTTCAGAATAATAATAATGAATTTAAGACGAACATAATATCGTGAGATATTGTGTTTCATTTTTACGATGATTTTGTTTTGTCTTTATTAGAATTATTGTCAGAACGGTGGAACCTGCAGGTGTGCCAAAGGTGGCGGATACGAATATGAATGTACTTCTGAATACACGGGACTAAATTGTACTGAGGTAAGGTGACATTTTTCAGATTAGCGATTCCATGAGAAAAAACCAATTAGTACACAATGTATTTCTGATAACTTAATAAGAATACTCAAAATGTTTTCAGTACACCATTGTCTTGAATTTATGTCAGAATTAAGCACAATTTATAACCGGTAAATTTTTGCAGTTGATGCCCATTGCATTTATTAAAATTAATTACGCTCTTGCGTTTTATGTTTTTATTACTCGACAGTTTTACTTTCTTATAAATAAAATTGATTAAAACTAACAATTAATAAAAAATTATTTTTATACTAATGAGCTTAATCAATATTTTCCAGCGGGAGCGCTTATTTAGTAGCAAGGCCATCGACATAGCAGTGATCGTAGGTCCAATTGTGGGCTGTTTTTTTCTCATCATCATCAGCTGTCTCACAGCGCTCTTCATGATGGCAAGAAAGAAACGCGCTACACGCGGCACGTATAGTCCGAGTGCTCAGGAATTCAGTAATCCTCGAGTGGAAATGGATAATGTGATGAAACCTCTTACGGAGGAAAGATTGATCTAATCGATGATTGGTGAGATGTAATCTAAATTAAAAAGAATGCAGGTGAGTTTTGATATGTGGAAACTGTTTTCCAGAGGCACGCGCAGATTTTGCGTAAATTGTACAATTTTGTTTGGTGGTCTAAAGTTAAATCAAATTGATGCGCGAGTAAGCGAGACAACATTCTAATAGAGAAATAAAATTAGACAAAATTACATTTTTCTGAAATTAAATTTATTATCGTGATATAAATTGGAATCAACATTGTATTTTTTATCGCATTTTTTATCAATCTTAATATTATATTTATCAAGAATCGACATTGTTATTAATTCTTAATTAATAGTTAATTTTTTAATTTTGATCCAATTAAGATGGATTTGGGTTGTCGTTGCAAAAATGAAATGTTTCCATATATCGAGAATAATTTGCACATTTTAGAGTTCCAAAACTCGTTTCGTCGTTGCAAATAACTCGACTGAAAAACTGCAGATTGTTTGATGAAGAGCCAAGTCAACGACGATGAAACGATTATTTATTTTGCGTCTTCTAGTCTTCGCTGTTTTGCCATTACGAAAAAATAGATGAGTTAGAAGGAATTTATTTTAAACGAATTGAATTTCCATCTCTTCGAAGATTGATGTGATCGAAAATTTTGGTAAAGTTCTTTTAATTCGTCATTTGTTTGCAAGATAATTGTATAAGAAAAATTTTAAGATTAGCGCTGAATTGAATAATATAACTTTTTTCGCAACTGTACATTTCTCGATGACATGACATTTGTCGAGGAATGACAATTAAGATTTGATAACGGACGCTAGGCGTCATGTTTGAACGAAATAAAGTCAACATGTTGTTTCGAGAGTCCCGAATGAAGTACACAGTGTCTTAGAAAAATATACGTTGGAGAAAGATATATGGTAACTGACATTTCGCAAGAATGAAAAATTTAATATTTTGAATTGAGAATTCGAGGGACCAATGATGATATTCTTAGAATTCGAGAATTTAGGAAGGCATCTTTAGGGAAGATGAATTTTGAAAGCTGAAAGATTCAAGACTTTAAATATCAAAAATTTTGAAATCAACAGATTCGGGGAGAAACTATTCGAGGATTCAATGATATTTGAATAAAACTCTCATAGAGTAATAATGAGGAGGAGGACGATCTACATTTCTCTCTGGGACGGATAGCATATATATATAATTAACTCGCGTATAAAGTAAATCATAGATTGTAACAAAGTGTACTTAAAGTTCTCAGAAGTGTCTTTAAGACGTGAAGCAATACTCGAAGGAGGCAATTCCGAACAAACAAACTCGTTCATTTTAGTGCTTAATCTCTCTTTCTCTCTCTCTTTCTCTGTTATTTCTTTCTTTTTCCTTTCTTTCAGACCATTGTTCTCTTTTTTTTTTGTTTTATTTACTTAAAAAGATATTATTTATAAGGCGCGATGCATGTAATATCGAAGATAGACGGCATTTTAGAAAGGCGTGCGTAAACAAATACAAGATCTCCGATAATAATGCACAATGTTTTGACACTTTCAAATGATGGGCGAATTATAGAACACTCGTGAGAAATTGTCTTGCAGATTCAAACTCTTAAGTTTTAAAATTTCAAGAAATTTACTATAAAACTGCAATATTTTATCTTATATTTTTTCATTATATTTTAACTGTAAACTGTTAATTAATGAAATTTTGATCTTTAATATCTATTTTTTGTACTATTTCCAATGTTTCTATTTTTTTGCATAGTATTATCTATTTCTCTTTATCTCTGGTTTTGGATATATTTTATATTTTATATTTAACTAAATTTTGCTTTTTTCCTTTTAGTTTTAATTAATCTTACCATAACTTTACTTTATTTCAGTTTGATTATTCTTTTTCTTAATTTTATTCTCCTCAATTTTTTGTTTCTTCTAATACTTTTTTTTTTTTACTTCTGTTAAATGTTTTACTTTTTCTGGGTTATTTTACATGTATTCCTTTTTAATAGAATATTTTTGATTCGCCTATCTACACGGGTATTATATAATATACATGAGGTTCTAAATATTGTCATACCGCGACACATACTCCGATTTGTTGCTATGAAACGATGATACTTCGTCGAACGTTTCCACCGCGGGCAAGAGAAAAGGCAATGTCGAGTGCGCGCGGAAAAGCTCGCGCTATTGTCACGCATGTTAATTTTGTACATAAACTAGCTCATAAACTACAAGTTATAATGACTTTATCGTATTTAGAATATCATATGATTGTTAGGTATTTAACAATAACGCACGTATTAATCGGTACGTAATTATATTTACTATTACGACCAAAGTAGCGGCGAGACGATCTTACAGTGTAAGAGTTTATTCTGTAAAAATCATCTCGTAAATTTCTAAGCTTTCTATTTTTCATTCAAAGACTTAATCTTCGGCTTGAAACAAAAAAATCGTAAAGACCAAATGCATTTGACAAGAGAGATTAGATTGTTCTTTATCTTTCTTAATTTCTTCATTTTAAACGCATGTCAAAAAATACACGAATATTGCCTTATAGGTATATAATTCAAACAAATTAATATTTACCATTTTTTCTTGTATCGAATCCTTATTGTGTAATTGTGTGAATATAATTTACTACGCAGTGGATATGTTTGTATTTAAATTTGCAGCTAAAGAGTCAAAACTAATTGTACAATATAAATTTGATTTATACTCTCTGATGAGACATAAAAGTGCGCAGTACAGCGTATTGTATAAGTAAACGTAGTAAATTCAAGTGGATAATAAAATGTACAAAATTGATAAAACGCATACGTAGTTTAAAAAACAACTATGTATTTTTCTCTTTCTTCTTATTTTTAATTATTTTTTTATTACTTCGATAAAATACAGTGAGCTAAAATGATACATAAAGAATGGCGTAAATAATTTAACTTGGAAGAATTATATATACAGTGCAATGTGAATCTACTTGACAAGGAACATTTCAATTCGAGACTATTATTACTTTATTTTTTGCTAACAGTAGAAATTTCTATTTTTTACTTTTTTATTCTTCTCTGTACATATATCCAATATTAATAATGTAATGAGGAAATTATTTTTGCACGCGGTACGTTAAGTATTAACGCATGTTCTAGCAGATCCGAAGAATATTTGTTTCATTATATTACGGGTGTTTAACTATATAAATTAATAAAGCTCAAAATTGAAGCTATTGAAATTAAAAACATCGTGATTTCATATGAAATTCAAATTGAACGTCTTCACAATACGACGGCCACAGTATTACATATAAATTCCCCTGCGCATCGAGTGCTAGATCCACAATAATGGATCTCGCATGGACATGCGCCAATCAGCCGTTTTACCATGCGAAAAGTGGATCTGGCCATGTAGTTCCGCCGGCTCAAAAAATGGATCCAGTTAGCGCTACTGTACGGCCTAGAGAAAGCGTCGTACGAAAAACGTGGCCTCTGACAGTTCCTCTCAGGCTTCTTTCTGCTACAGTTCTCTTCCTTCGACCTCTTCTATCAATCGTCATTCGACAAAACAGTATCGCGTTCAGTCACACGCAATAGGTCTCGTGCAATGGACGTAGTCGACCAACCTGAGCTTCCAACTGTTCGGAAATGGGTGCAAGAAAATTACACACTGTCGAATTTTCGAGCAACATGTAATAAGTGCCAAGAAATTTTATACTTTGTCTGCACAGAAGCCCTTACGGATCATATAAAACGCGAACATGAAGCTTCTTATCAATTTGAAGAGTCAGAGGGACTTTCAGATTGTAAAATCTACAGAAAACCTGACGATGATGGCCCACCAGAATGTGCTGTATGTGATAAGCGTGTTACCATCGAAGAGACTTCCGAGCACCAACATTTCGTAGAAGGACAAATTGTAGTGGACATTAATCATGACTGGGTGTTCAAATATTTTAGACAGATTTCTGACAATATTTTTTTAGCATATTGTGTTCTTTGCATACGTAAATATCGCACCGAAATGTTTCGATTGGCGTTTGATGAAATCATATTCTTGCATTTTAAAAGGTTTCATCCAGAAATATGGGGGGAAGGATTACCATTTAGTGAACAATCAGCAACGTCATTAGGTGGCGTAAATTTAACAAGACTAAATATGTTTTTACAAATATATGACAATGCCGAATGGAACACAAGGGATTGGGAAAATCGCGAAATAGCTATAAATTGGGTGAAAAGGAAATATAAATTAATAACGAGATTTCGAGCAAAGTGTAAAAGGTGTCTTGTTATTTATAGTAGCATCGACACATCACTCTTCGCTCAACATGTGTTAACGAAAGATATACCTTTATATAGTGACGAAGAGGCTACACGTTTTGTTTCCCTACATTCACATTGGATCAATTTTAAGTTTACCAAGGAACGGAAAGCACAATGTCTTATGTGTTCCGATCAATTTTTCATGCAAAGTAACACGTGGTTAAATCATCGACATGAAGCAAAGGATGATAATAACGCATTCGTTATTCAGTATTCATGGCTTTGCAAATATGTGACAAACATCAAAGATGATAACGATGATTTTAAAGGATGTTGCATTGTATGTGATGAAAATCACATCTTGGACTTTATGCCTTCAAAACACTTATTCTTTCACATATTCGAAAATGGGTGTGGAAATTTGATGAGAAGAGATGACCCAGTACCAGGAAATGACTCACAACCAAAAGATGATTTACCAATGCAAGAACAAGGATTGGAAAAACTTACACTGTACAACAAACCGTCAACAAGCAATGAAATAAATTGAAAAGAAGGTAAGGTGGTAAGTTTTGTTGACATTAATATTGTTGTATACTATAAATTTTTTATTTTCTTTGAGTGGCGTACTCAATACTTGTATAATAAAAACAATAAACCGAATAATTAGTTTCTAATCTTTTTTTTTTAATTTTTAATAGCTGTATCTATACTTTTGACAATGGAGATGATGATAGTCGAATTGAGACCGAGCCACAAACAACAATAACGTCAGTTTTGACTTCGATCGCTTAGTTAATTTGAAATGTATAAAAGAATTATCTTTAACGTCTGTATATATTATTTTGATTTTTATAAAGTTATAAGCAAGTTTATAAATTTCTATTTCAAAGACGTATTTCAATTTTATAAATATATAAAGTTTATAATATTTATAAATTTATTGAACAAAGTACTCTTTAATATTACATTTATAAAGTTTGTTTATAAATTTATAAAGCAAATTAATTTTTTTAACTGAGCAGTGATGTTCATGTAAAGACGACATTGTAAGATATTTTTATATTTATACATATTTGAACACCATGTCATGATGAATGTCGACTACAATTTGTCCTTCTACGAAATGCTGGTGCTCGGAAGTCTCTTCGACGGAAACACGCTTATTACATACAGCACATTCTGGTGGGCCATCATCGTCAGGTTCTCTGTAGATTTTATATTTATATTTCATTTTTTTTTTCTTTTTTTTGTCTTTATTTTATTTTGGTTTGTTATAATTTCTCCAGAAGTCTTTCAAATATATTGTACGAGTATGCAGCCATAATTTTGTCAATTTAAATTTTAAAGTTGTATGTATTCCAAAAATTGTGTGTGACCATTAATGTATACATTATAATAGAGAAATATGCAGACAATGCGTTTTTCAACGCATTAATAAAATGGCATTTTGAAAGATATAATTTCATTCTTTTATCCAAAAAAAATATCCCAGACAAAACATTAGTATATTTGATTAATTTTATATATGTATGAAAGCTAAAATATATTTAACATGTAATTATCGATTTTATGTTTTATTGAATTCGATGCTCTCGGATGGAATTTGTTAAATCAGTTATTTTCTTTTTATACGCTTTTTTGATATACGTACTTTCAAAACAACGATACCCGCAAATTAGTGATGTATTAACGTCAATTGTCGCATTTGGCATCGCAGAGACTTGCGTCGTCAGAGCTTGCCTTTACTGATTTCATCGACAATCACTATGTTGAAATTTGTAGATATCGCCACATGATACGCACCTTTCAATAAAAGAACGTTATTAAAAGAATTGATTGTAATATATATACATATATATAAGATTGGTTTGATTTATAGCTACAAAGATATTAGTTTCCATGCAAGATAATTTGTGCAACTTAAAGCTGCAAAACCCGATTCATCATCAAAGTATATCTACTGAAAAAATTCAGATTATTCAATGAACTGTCGAATCGACAACGTGAAACAAATATTCATTGCGCCTTCTATTCCTCTCTGCTTCGTCGTTACAAAAATATAAATAAATTAGAAGATATTTACTTTAAAGGAATTTTATTTCTCACTTTTCTTAAAGATTTGACAATTTTTAAAGTTGTATCAATTTGTCATTGGCCTGCAAAATAATCGTATGAGAAAAAATTGTAAGATTAACGTTGAATTGAAAAGTGGATCTTCTCTTCGCAACGACGCATTTCTCGATGACATGTTTATCGAGGAAGGACAATTAAGTTTTGGTAGCGGACATTCGGCGTTGGAACATAATAAAGGCAACATGTTGTTTTGAGAGATTCTAATGATGTACACAGTGTCCTAGAAAGATATATTACGTGCAGGAGGATATTTTCCGAGCAACTGATGTTTCGCGAAAACGAGAACTTTGATATCTCGAATTGAGAATTGGAGAGACCAATAATAATATATTTCGAAAATGTAGAAATCCAACGATCTTTGGAGACAATGCTGAGTTTTTAAAGCTGAAAGATTTAGAATTTCAAATGCAAAAAATTTATACATGCTGAAATCGCAGTTTCGGGTACAAACTGTTGCGGGAATGACTTGTGAGTTTCATGAAATTAGAATAAATACGTTAATCTACATCTCTCTCTGGGATTGATTATATATATATTAATATCACGCAAAAATAGATCATGTAGATTGTGACGAAGTGTAATTGAAACGTTAAGGAACTTTCTTTCAATAAATTTTAAGATATCTATTTTTTTAATAATTTGTTTAATATACTATGTGTAATAACCGCCTATGTACACGGGTATTATATAATATATACTAGGTTCTATATAACAATACGTCTATTTGTTGCTGAGAAACTATGACATCGTTGAACGTTTCCGACGCGGACAAAGGAAAAGGCAACTGCGAGTGCGCGCGGAAAAGCACGCGCTATTGTCACACGTATTATTTTTCTATATAGGGCTCATAAGCGAGATATATGAATGACTTTATCGTATTTGGAATTTTAAATAATTGTTAGTTATTTAATAATGAATATATTAACTGCTGCGTAATTATATTTACTACCACGAGCAACCAAAACAGCGGCGAACAAGACTGATTAAATTATTTTTCGCCTTTCTTTGTTATCACTTCATTTTAAACTCATGCCAAAAAATTTGCGAAAATTGCCTTAAATATCTTATAATAAATCACCTTAAATAATATAATTCAATCGAATCGATACTCACCATCTTTTCGCGTGACGAAGTTTATATTATCATGAAAAAGTGTGATTATGATTTATTTCGCAATGAATATATATTTATTTAGACTCGCAGCAAAAAAATCAAAAATAATAATTATGCAAAGTACAAAAATTTTATCGTTACGAAACGAGACATAAAAGTGCTCAATACATATAATATTGCTATATAAGTAGGCGTAGTGATTTTAAGTGGATAATTAAATGTACAAAGTCAATAAAACGCATGTATAGTTTAAAAACAGGTATGTATTTCTCATATTCTTTGTGATTTCTTTTTTGTATCACTTCGATGAAATACAGTAGAGCTAATATGTTACATAAAATGGCATAAATAATTAATTTGTAAGAATTATATGCAGTGCAGTGTTAATCTACTTGACAAGAAGCATTCGGAGTTATTATTATGTTGTTTTTTATTTTATAATTTTTTATTTTTTGTCGTATTCATTTGTATATATCCAATATTATTGACAATGAGATGAATTATTTTCACGTGTTACATTAACGTGCTCTAGATGATCCGAAAAATATTTGCTACATTATGTTACGAGTGTTTAACTATATAAATTAATAAAACTCAAAATTGAAGCTATCGAGATTAAAAACATTGCAATTTCATATATAATTCAAACCGAACGTCTTGACAATACGACAGCGACAGTAACACATCTAAATACGTGCTATAGAAATATGGAAACTATACGTCTTTCAACGCATTAATAAAAAAACATTTTGAAACAAATAATTTCATCATTTTGTACAAAAAAATATCCAAGATAAAACATTACTATATTTAATTAATTTTGTATATGTATGAAAGCTAAAGTATATTTAACATAATTATCGGTTTTATGTTTACAAAATTATAAATAAGTATGATGAAATTACAATAATTTCTACGATAAAGTCTTTGAAATACAATATACTATAATTTACTTTGTAATAAATTTATTCCTACGTTAATTTTTAGCAAAAATGTCCAAAGAATTAAAGAAGTAAAATTAATTTGTTTGTTACAAGATGAAACATAAGAATGTGCAATACGGCGCACCCTTCTTCAACTTAATATGTAAGGAAGTGTTACAATTTCTCTTTTAAGTGAATAATTAAACGTACAAAATTAATAAAACAAGAGGTAAAGCAAGAATTTCAATAAAATTAAGTTACATAAATATTATGTAACAAAAAGCTAATTAATATTCCAAAATCTATTGAGTATCTTAAACGATTTTCAATGCTTTTAATTAGATTTGCAAATAAGAATTGACACTTTTTAAATATAAGAAAATGTTTAATTTCGACTAACATAGCTTAGAATAATTAAGAAGCACTATTTCTTACATTTGACATACAGAATTTCCTTACAAATCACATACCACCAAATTTTTAAATTTGCTTACAATCTTAACTATGCAAAGCTCTTCTGTTCCGATCTTAAGAAAAGTTTTTAGAAAATCTCGTCTTTAAATACATAAATTCACAACTAACATTTCTACCTTATCGCATCCGTTCTTTTCAAAACTCTTCATACGGAAAAAGGTGCGTAAACGTGTTTAGAAGAAAGATCTCGCGTGCAACATATTCAACTCTGTCGGTAAACGAATTTGCAGGAATTCGCACCACATGTCTCTGAGCGGCAAGTCGTACACTCTAGTGAACACTACGCGCTACGAGGGCTACGGCATTCAGTTCCGCTTCAGGACTACTTTGCCAAACGGTTTCCTGGCGATCGGCAAGGACCATTTATATTCTTCAGCTGGTCAACGGTAACGGCAAACATATACTCGAGTATGCTGGACAAATGGACGGAGTTTTCGTCGATGGCTGACTCAATCATGCCACGTGGCAAAAGGCTTTTGTGGCGATCAACGCAACTCATCTTGTCCTCTCGGCCAACAATGAGCAGACTATCTATCCTATCAGTCCTAACGAAAGCTCCAATTCGTCGAATTACACGTCTTTTCCTACGACTTACGTAGACGGCAGCTACAGCTCTTTAAACTTCCTGAAAAGGTTATCTCTACCCATTTTCACCGTCTTCATTGGCTGCATGGAAGGTGTCATTTTTAATGGCGAATGGGTATGTTGACTTGCTTTTAATTTCGATTTATTTAATGAATCATATTTGTTTAGAAATACGTTAATTAATCATGTAACTTGTGTAATTGTTAACATAATTTTATTTTTTTCCGAGAGAAAGTTTGTAAAAAATAGTTTTTAATTTTGTAGATATGGAAATCTTTATTTATAAATTATCAAATAGAAAGTGTTGACAATTTGTAAGAAATTTTCTGAAATGAGTTTTTTAGAACAATTTTTTACATGTCCATGCGGATTTTACGTTTATTCTTGTATTACGTCGAAGATCGTATATAATGAGTACGTAGAATCAAGTTGTCCCCGCGAGACTCAATGCTCACAAAATCCCTGCGAGAACGTCGGCCACTACACCGACAATTGGCGCGAATTCAAATGCAAGTGCGAGCGTCCTTATCTCGGTCGCACCTGTCAGTACAACATGACCTTTGCCACCTTCGGCTACGAGAACATTACGAACGGCTATGTGACTGTGAAGGTTAGCG